AACAATCATGATATTTATAACATTTGTAGTATATTTCTTCGCAAACATTGTGAACTTGACATTGAAGAAGATATTGAATATGAATTCTACATTAAAGCACAACAGTCGTTGCGCAGCGCGCGTTCGAATTTCCAATAAACAATGTATTACATACACACGTTCAAAGTTGTACACGTCGCTATGGTCCCCATTTCGAGCACGGAACGATTCTAAGACTGTGGCATTTTCAAATAGCTTTAATTTTATATATTATACGATGTTTGGAGTTGGACTATTTATATATTTTTAGACCTTAATGCCAAACAATTTAAACAACTGGGTCAACTACTCTTATCTTGAGATCTGCCATCAGTCAACAACATGCATTCACAAAAGGGTAAATGCCCGGGGGAGGGGCGTACTTGCAAAACATACTGACAGAGGTGTGTAGCTGGTTGTTTGAAATCCCTACCCCTTATCAGGCAGAAATAAACTCAAATTGCCTACCAAACTCTGGATATTTAACACCCACTTCCAGACAGTAAGCATAAATGGTACCAAGGGAAAAGCAGACGGACTCCCGGGGATGGGCTTCGACGTTCGAAATGAAGTTACAGAAAGAAAAAAATCATCTTCATTCTCCTGGACGTTGGATCACTCACGCTCTAGAGACAGTCTTTGGAAAATATGGACCCCTTTTCAGACAAAAATAATGAAAAAAGACAGACGCATACCCGTTTTCAGATAAATGTGGTGAATTTAGAACCCCTTTTGGCGACACATATACATATAGCACTTCAATGTGAGTACCCCCCCCCCGTGGGGGGGTTAAATGTCACATTTAATGAGTAAATGAGGTGTGTCTGTTCGCACAGCGTGCACAGGCCCGTAGCCAGCACTTTTGAATAGGGCGTTCGAAAACAACAATAACATATTTGATGTGAAACGTGTGAATTTTATAATTTTCAAAAACAAAAAGCGGATTCTTTAGTGTCTTAGAGCTCTGTTACAGACATTTTTATATTTTGGGTTTTAAATTATATTGACTTACTTTGTGTAACGTAGTATTAGTCAATTTATTATCATGTAGTTTTACTAGTATTTCAGTACAGGGCCTCAACCAATCGTACAAAGTGTAATGGGTAGAAAAGTGCATAACATGTTTTAAAAACAATACAACATCCATGTAAACATATGGTACTAAGTTAAGCTGGATATATATTCATCTAGTCGCTTAAAAACGTTTAAAAGATACAGAGC